ATATATATATATATATATATATATATATATATATATATATATATATATACACGTATGCATGCATGCATGCATGCATGCATGTATATACTCATGGTGTTCTGTATAGATCGATGCATTTGAATATTCTAGACTGCGCTGCTGGTGACAGGGTGGAGCCTGTGTAAGCTTGGTTGTGAGTTAGGGGTGAAGGGGCGTTGCTATGGAGCTGATGCTGTGTCTGTAAGTGAGCTGTGTTTGCCCCGTTTGTTTGAGTGGTTGCGTGTTTAATCTTTTTGTTTGTTTGTCTGTACATCTGCCCCTTCATGCAGAGCCTATGTAGGTCAACGATTCACACGAAACAAGCGAAAAAGACCGCCGAAATCTCGGGGTGTACGTAACACCCCGGCGCCGCTCCAGCCGCAGCTGCTGCTGCCGCACCAGCGGGGCAGCGGAGGAGAGCTGAGGGGGCTCAGCGACGTACTGGCGAAAACAATGGCAGAAGTAATGCCCATGAAGCCGAAGAAGACCGAATTGGGGTCGCATTGCAGAAACGCAGACCAAAACATCTTGGCGGCAAAGGTGAGGAGAGGTAAGGAAACAGGGTTAGAGGTTAAGAAGAAGAAACGCGATTACGGCGGTAAACCCAGGATATTTAAAAAGGGTTTTTCGTTTTATTTAATATTCTGCTTCTTTTTTTAAAACACAGCAACAAACGCCAACGAAATCGAGCCGTTCATATACCAGGAGGCAGCAGCAGCAGCCGTTGATAGGACGACGGCAGCGAGAAAGCTCTTGACTACACAGACAGCAAGCCCCAACAACAACGTAGGTGAAGAAGAACCGTTTTTTAATTTTATTTTTACAAATATAATTAATTTATAATAATATTAATCATAAAATTCAATTTGAATTAGATAAAAAGGGGCGGAAAGCAGAGGATCGCTCTGCTTTCCCTTTGCCGGTGATCAGCATCCCTCATCGCATGCGGCATCGTCCTTTCCGCTTTGGGCTTTTCCGTGTTTTTTATTTTATCTCGAGGCGCAGATGGCAGACCTAAATAAAGATATTTCTTTTTTAATTCATCGGCAGTGAAAATATAGAAAATCCCGTGCTGTGTAGAGCAGAACACACACGCACACACACGCACACACATTCAAGCGCCCGCGGAAACATAGATACAGGTATATGGTTAGACAGACAAACACAGAAATAGAAACACAGAGAAACATACAGCGAGACAGACGTATACAGCTAGACACACATAGACAATAACACAGAGCTTTGAAACCCACCCCGACAAAGAAGATGAACGAGAAGAAAGCGGCAACAACCACCGAAGTGTTCAGCCCAAGCAAAACAAACAGCAACGCCAAGACCC